CACACTGAAGATTTTATATTTATCCTGAGAGTAGTGTAAAGCCATTAAGGAATTCTTAGCAGGATAATGATAAAATAAGAGCGAAACATTTTATTTTGGCTTTTGTATGGGGCAGTCAAGTTTTCGTTAAGATATTGAAGTAGCTTAGGAGATGATGATAATTTGAATTTGGGGATCACAGTTGAGAGGCAGAAAGTTGGGTGATTTGAAACAGAGTTTTCTAGTTTTTTATGTCATGGCACACACAAGTGCTTTTTAGAAATCTGCTGGGGTAAATAGACAAGGGTGCCCCAGGTGATGAGGAGAATCCATATCTTGGCCTCCTTGTAACCCATTTGCAACAGCCAGAAGGAGAAACTCCCATTTTGAGAGGTGAGTATTTGAGATGAAAGTCAAGGGTGAATCCAAGATTTTTAGCTTAAGCAGGCAGCTCCAAGGACATGCTTATGAGATTTAGAACACTGGAGAAGAACTGGGAAAGATAATAGTTTGTTGTGTACATGCTGAGTTTGAGGTTTTCCTGAGCCATTCCAATGGGATCTTGAGGAGACATGTGGTTTTGATGCTCACAAGAGAAAAAATTTAAACCGTACAGATGGTAGCTGAAGTCAGGAAGTGAGATGGCATAGGACCAAGGCTTATGAAATGTCCACACTTAAAAGTCAGCTAGATGAGAATGAGCTAGCAAAGGAGATTGAGAATTAGAAAGTCCAGAGAGGTAATAGGATTATTAGAAGATTCTGAAGTCATGAGAGTCAAGAGAAGAGAATATTTAAGGAGGAGAGAGAATTCTGAGGAATCAAGGAAAATGAAGACGGAAAACTTTCTGTTGGGTTCAATGACATGGGAATTGGTGTGACATTGGAGCTACTACATTAGAGCTGTGCGCGTAAGACAGATAGCAGCCTATGGGTTGTGAGGTGTGAGTGGGAGGTTAGAAAATAAAAGCAGTGAATTAACATCTCTGTCAAGAATTTCACCTGTGGTAAGAAGGAGCAAGCTAGGACAGGGGCTAGCCTGGTTTGAGGGAAGGTGTGCTAAAGGCTGTGAGGCTGGTGGTGGGGGATAGTGCAGAGCAGTGGAGAGTGTAAGGCAGCTGAGGAGGGACTTGGTGGGTGGAGGATCAGGAAGAAAGCAGAGAATGGATACAGGTGACTGCAGGTTTCATCGTTGCCAGTGGGCTGTTTGCCCTGTGAGATGCGAGGCTACAACAGGTTTGTTTTTGTTTTTGTTTTTTTGAGTCATAGTCTCACTCTGTTGCCCAGGCTGGAGTGCAGTGGCCGATTATAGCTACCGCAGCCTCGACTTGTTGGCTCAGGTGAACCTTTTGCCTCAGCCTTCCAAGGTTGGCAGGTGCGCGCCACCATACCCGACTAATTTTTTTTATTTATGGGAGACAATGTCTTGTCAGGTTGCCTAGACTGGTCTCAAACCCCTGGGCTCAAGTCGTCCTCTCACCTCAGCCTCCCAAAGTGCTGGGATTGCAGGTAGGTTTTGAATATGAGGGGGTAGAATATTTTAGGGCCACAGAAATTTGAAATAGTCACTGTAAAGAACAGGAAAATGAGTGTTGTAGAGAAAGGTGGTAGGATTTCAGGCAGGGCTGAGGCCCAGTTGGGGTTGTCCCCATTGGGTCCTCTTACTGATTCTTATTTGGTATGTCTAGCTGACCTTGCAGTTGTTGGGAGAGGGTACTTGTGTTCCTCCAGGGATGCAATTGTGACAGATCAAGGCAATAAAAGAATAGAGGACCAAAAAAGTCTTGTGAGTCAAAGGAGTGATTTAAATGCTGAACTGTAAACTCTGAGATGGATATGGATGTAAAAGCAGGAGGTGAAGAGAGGATAGGAAGGAAGTAGAAGTAAGAGAATGATCCAAGAAGAAATTGTTGAATAAAGAAATCAGAAAAATAGAGATTGTGATGAAACAGTGAATGCGTCACATGGTGACCATACCTGTGGGGTGGTTTCCTCTAACTGTAGGGGGGTGGTAGAAGCATATTTAAGTAGATTTTACTCGGTGTCTACAGAGTTGCCATTGGTTACTTGGTAATGCTGGCTTTTTAATAGTAGGTGTAAAATTGTTCATGTTTACTTTTAGTACTATATGTAGATGACAAATTTTTGTTTTTTGTTTTAAAGAACCATATATTCAGTATCTCATGGCATCCTGCATTGCTTATAATGGAGCCAAATGAGCAGAGCTTTCCTATTAGCAGGGTTATAGAATTTGTTAGAATGGTTGTGCCATCCAGGAAGAATGAAGATGAGATGAGGAAGGTGAACTTGCTTGGGTTTATGACAAGATCCGTGGTAAGCATGATAAGATTATAAGAACGAGTGTCAGAAGTAGAAGGGAGGGGAACAAGGTCTCTGGGGATGAAGTAATGAAGGAAAGAAACCTGTGAAGTTGACTGCAGGGATAGACATTGAAATCACATTGTTATGGCTCAGTTGAGGTGTAGATGAATTCCCTGAGTATTGGGTGAAGAAGGTCTGTCCTTGGAGGTTATTGATAGTGATAAGGCATGGGGGAAGGTAGTGTAATTGGATGTCATGGGCCTTAGAGAAACAGAGTTTTGTTGTTATCATTTTCTTCTCTCTTTCTCTCTTTCATTATTAGGGGGTAAGGAAATGATGTTCCCTCTATATTCTGAGGTGCTCAGAGTTTGAGAATTATTGCTGTGATGATAGCTAACTGAGAGTGGGGTGAAGGAGATATTCAGTGCTGACCCATGAGAGGGCTGATGGATTTTAACCTGGTAGAGTTTTTTGGGAGGAGTTGGTGTAGAGCCCTCACCTCAGTGGTCATAGGTCCTGGCTTCCACGATCTTGAACGTATTGGTGGTTTACTCTTGCTTGGACATAGGAGTTGCTAAAAGCGCCAGGTGTTTAGTTGTGTTGCTAGGGTAATTTGCTATATGAAAATTAAATTTATTTTCAAGCTATTCATAAACATTTTTCATCATAAAAATAAATTGTTATTATAAGAGTTACTTGCTTGGAATTCAGAATTTATTTTTTCTTACAAAGTGTCATGATAGATGAAATGATATTTCAGAATTTTCTCCTGATCTCCCTTTTTAAAGGAATAAGTATGCCATTACCATTGTGAACTGAGGAGGAAGGACATTTTATCAAAATAATTATTTAACTATAGCGAAGACAAAAGAAGAAGGTTAACTATAGGACCTGTAAAATTGTTTGATAAAGATTTGTTGAGGAAGAGTAATTGGAGCTGTGTTGAAGAAGTCTCAGGACTGAGGTATATCCAGATTTAATAGCTGTGATTCTTGTCTCAGTTCAACATTTGGCCATAGACCTGTAATTTAGAATGCAGCTGGCTTTGTACAAGCCAGCAAAGAGAGAAGAAACTCGAGTAGCTCCAGCAGTTCCAGGGACAGCTACGATTATGAAAAGAGTTGTAAATTGAGGATGAGAAGATTTGTGCACTAGGCTTAATTGAATCAACAAAAATTTCTTGTACGGATGATTCAACAAATATTTGCTTGCCTGCTTTGTGCTAAGATACATTTTATAAGCCAGGAGATTGAGGCCCAGATGTTTGATGACTTCCACCAAATCAAATTTAATGAAGAAACCAAGAAGGGAATTCAGGTGTTGTAAGCCTGAAACCATATCAAGCTATCTGTTATGTGAGTGTGGTTGTTTGTGGTCCCACTTATGCAAGGTATGTGGTCACTCTCCTTCTCCCTCCAAAACAGCACAACAAAAGAAAGCTTCCAGAATATTTGTCTAATAAATTCTTATTGTGATGGGATGGTGGGTCGTCTTACATCCCTGTCAACAAGTGATTCATTATCATTTAACATTTTAGTAACCAAAACCTTTAGTGGGACAGATCCATGAGATGAGGAATGGAGAAAATGACGTTTGGTCAGAGGATCTAAGACACTGTCAACTTTGTTTAGTTGACCATGATGCCCAGTTCACTCTGTCCCAAATCTGGGCTATCAAATATTGGTATTGTGGGTTACAGTCTCCTCTTCAAAGCATTGAAATGTTTGATTTCCCTGTGAAGATTTAAATTTGAGTGGGGGGGGGAAGGCTTATAAACAACTGTGGAAGGTTGCTGCCTTGCTCTAGATAATATTTGTGCTAAATTAATTTAGTATACTATTCCAAACTCTAAGAATTTGTGAACTGCTAATCTTAGATTAGTGAATAATGCTATTCAAATTGGGCTGATTTTATTTCCCAGAAGAGACTATTTAGAGAGAGGGTTGGGGAGAAGTAGAAAAAAATTAGAATACGTTTGTATAATCTCTTCTAACTCCCTTTTCAATATGGCGTTTCCTAGGTCATGACTCATTTTTTTCTGATCCTTCCCCTCCCGCCAGTCCTTCTCTCCAGCCTTGTCTCCCTCTTTTCTCCAGTGAAACATTATGCGGTGTTGCTTTATTTTTGCTGTTGGAGGACTTAGTCCTGGGACAGTAATGTCTGTGAATCTGAATTCTAGAACATTAATTAATTTTTTGCCTTTTATGGTTCTGTTTCATTGAAACAAAAACTAATGATCCTTTTATTTATTTATTTATTTATTTATTTATTTATTTTTAGTCATCTGATTTGATTCTGAAGGGCCAAATCAAGCTGCTTCTGGGCATTGGGCCATATTTTATAGCAAGACTCGTTTCAGTTTTGAATGAGTTGGTGCTTAAGCGAAAATCATTAAAAGCTTCTTTCAAGAAAACAAAACTGGCAGCACAATTTGTTCCATTTCATTTTTTTCCAGCGTGTGTGTGTGTGTGTGTGTGTGTGTGTGTGTGTGTGTGTGTGTGTGTGTGTGTAAGGGTTGGAGTTAGGTGATGGAACAACTGAAAAAGAAATCACTTAAGTGGGAGAAAGACTGTAGGGTTGTTAGGAGTGCATTTCAGCTTGAGTGATTAGCAGCATTTGGCCATAAGGTAGAGGTCTCTAAAAATAACTGGTGAGCAGAGTTTGCAGTCAGGTCCAATTTCAGTTCTAGAGGCCTTGGCTGTACAAGGGTTGGCCAGTCTAAAATTCTGGTAGGGAAGGGCATGTGGTGTGCCCCAAACCAGCCAAAAGCTCTTTGATTTTCTTTTTTTCTTTAGTATTTATTATTCATGGATTGAAGAAATCAAAATGGCTGAAGACAAAGGTATATTACTGTTATTTGGGTTAAAAAGTGGTCTTGGATATAGCTGACAACTTTTTGCTTTATTTTCAATTGTGCTCCGTTAAAATATTTTTGACTAAGTGCTTTGTGTCTTCTACATTTTCCATTTTGAGCTCCTGGAGACATTGACTTTTCAGAATAGTTGAATTTTTCATGGAATAGTCTGTCTTTAGTCTGAATATGTTTTGATGTCTTAATTTAGACTATGTTTTAGTGTATTGCACTACTAGAGGCTGCATTTTATAAACTTTAAAAAATGTACAAGCTGTCTTTCTTAGTCTTATAAGTTAATTACAAAGAACTTAAAGAATTGTGTATATTCAGGTTTTGTATAAAATAGCAGAATCTTAAACGCTGTATATGTTCAGTCTTGTATTAATAAACATATTTAGTCGGTTCAAGTAGATACTTACTATATATGGAAGTTGACCTACTTTTTTTGTGAAGTTGACAATAAATGCAAAGAAAAAAACACTAGAATTTTTTTTTATAAATTGATTCATTACACTTCAAGTATTCTTTAATGTGTTGATTTTAATTTTTTGTATGTTTTGCTTTACTTTGTGAATTAAAAATAGTCTTTCTGTTATTTGAAAGCAGACTGCATTTGCTCATTATGTTGACAATTTATATAAGAAAAAATAGATGAATGAAAACTGCTTCTATATCACCTAAGCAGCCACTGAAAATATTCTACTCTTCGAATAGAAAATATAAACATCTCCACTTTGAATACTGTTTTGAATAATTGGGTGGAACGAGTCACTTTCTAGTTCAGTTAAGTGCTTCATGTAGCTATCAAGAAGAATATGAACTATATATCGAACTTTTAGTTCTTTTAGAAGACATTTCTCCCCTCATGGATTAGGTAAAATTAGCTGTTACTTCTCACCGCTTTTAACAGTTCTTGATTCCCAAAGGGTGACATTTTGTAGCAGGAGAAAATAATCAGTTGGAAGAGTTGCCTGACAGTTTTTATGTTGGTTTTTTTTTGTTGTTGTTGTTTTTTAAGGAAGCAGAATTTATTGAGACAGAAAAGCTCCCACAGGGGAAGGGGACCTGAGGGGGTTGCCTGACAGTTTTTATGGTTTTTGAAAACTTTAAATGTATAGGGTTTATGTAGAAATATGAAATTCCCAACATTAAGCTAACTAAAACTTACCAATGGCTGATCTGTAATTCAGTTAGTAGTAGGCCAGTTAGGTAATTGATGACTATTTAGTTGCTGGGGTACTTCTTCTCTTTTCCCCTTCCTCAAACAAATAAGTAAAATTACCTGTTACCGAGCCCAGTCTTCCTTTTGGACGATTTGGACCATTATTTGCTGTAGTAATTTTCTGTGTTTGGAGTAATATATAGGAAGATTTTTTGATTTGGAGCACATTAATTTCAACAAGACAACATGGGAAAAAAATGAATCATGTAATTCTTGCCATATTCTTGACCCCCAGTAAAAATTCTTTGACTAATCCCTGAGACTATAGGTTGGATGTGAAGGCAAAAAATGAAATGAAGACTCTTAGGTTTATTCTGATCTTAGAAAATAGAGACAACTACTACGTGTTCTTCCCGAGTACCTTTGGAACAAAATACTGGTTTGCTGGCTTCAGGTTTGCTTAGGGAGTTGTAAACCCTCTTGAAGGTTTGTCTTACCATGCTTTCATTAGGTTTGCTGGTCAGAAACTGATATGCCCTTCGGGACTGGGCATACCAAATTTGCAAAGTTACATATGAAGAGTATATTATTTGTGGTTGATAGAAAGAAATAGTTCCCCTAAAAAGGAGTCTCAGGAAAGACTCCCTTCTATAACTTAGTGTTTCGTTCCCTTGTGGAGTTTGTATTGTTAATTATTATTAACAATAATAAGATATAATACTAGAACAATACCTCATTTATTTGACATGGTAAAAAGATGGATAAAATATTGCTAATAATTTAATATTCTAGCTAAGTAACATTTAGCTTTTAAGGTGATAAATCTTTTTATTTCAATCTGTTTTGAATGAAAATCTTATCTTAAACAGGTTAAAACAGTACTTTAAGGACAGGAACAAGATGACTATCAGTTATTGACTTGTACCAAAGATTATTGGAAGGACTGTCAGAGGTCTGCCTATAAGCCCTAGTCATAAGTGGCTTCCCAGTACTTGGGCTTTCTAGTTCTTGGGTCTGTCCTTGTTGTGGGATCCGTGCCTCTTATAGGCTTTTCCTCCATCAGCATTTTGTTGCTTTGTTTCATTTGGGTTTGATTGTCTTTGAAGTCTATTCTAGAATTTGTGCAGTGACTTAGGAAACTTCGTTGGAATTGTTAAAATCACATCTAAAATAAATGTAAACAGATCCTAAGTAAAGATTTTTTTTGTTTTGTTTTTGTTGTTGTTGTTTGTTTTTTCTGTGTGTTTGGCCCCATCTCTTCTTCCTCTCAATCCCTTTCTGTTTTGGTGCATGCACTTATTTAATTTAAAAGTGATCTTTTCGCCACTTTTCCTTATGTCTGGCATTGCAGTTAATAACTCACATGGATATTATTTCATTAACTCTGATCAACGATGCTTTACTTTTTATAATCTCAGAAATTTTCCTCTCTCATTTCTTCTTTAAGAAACAGAAATGGAGAAAGAATTGAATTTTTAATTCAAATTATTACTTTGTTTTCTAAGCCATTTGCTGTAGTAATTTTAAATTAGGGTAGGCTTATTTTAAATAGTATCATCTAGCCGGGCTCGGTGGCTCAGCCAGCCTTTGGAAGGCTGAGGTGAGTGGATTGTCTGAGCCCGCAGGTTTGCGACCCGCCTGGGCAGCAAGACCTCATCTCTACAATAAATCAAAATTAGCTGGGCGTGGTAGCGCGCGCCTGTAGTTCCAGCTACTTGTAAGACTGAGGCGGAAGGATCGCCGGAGCCCAGCAGGTCGAGGCTGCGGTGACTGGGAGCGGCTTCTGCACTCCAGTCTGGGCGACAGAGTGAGACTCCAACTCAAAAAATAAAAAATAAAAATAAATAACTAAATAATATCATCTTGGGTATACTTTTGTAGATGTATACATTTTAAAAACTTAGTTATTGGTTAAAAATTGGTGTATACCTTGAATAACTATGTTAAATGAATGAAAGAAAAGATGAACTATATTTACTAGTTTTGCTATTTTCCGTTAATGAGGAAAAATGCAAGAGACTGGTGTCAATTACAGAATGTTCAAGAAGAGGTAAGTCAAGAACCCAGTTTTAGTGAAGTTTTAGCATTCATTTTACATAAAATTTAAATTTAATTCTTAGGGACAAGAGGTAGCCAAGGTAGGAAGTTCTCAGTCATTAACTATTACAGTTCCATATTTGGAGTAAATGAATGTTTCAGACGACATTATTCTTATACTTAATGTTGTATACAGATGGGTATGTATGCATGTATCTGTGTTTTATATAGAAATAAGATTATTTTGATACAATATTAGACAAAATGTCTTTATGTTCATAGAAGTCTAATACATTAAACACACAATGTTCCTATTGAAATCTGTAGTACTCCCCTGCCCCTGAAAAGGCCTACCCACTTTTAATCTTTTCTATTTTAAATCTTAATAGTGGTTTATTTTATATTGTTATTTTATGATTTATATGCTTAAGACATAAAAATATTGGAAATCATTTCTCTCTCCAACATTGCAGAAATTCTCACTCAATCTCTCCCTTTCATGGCTATGTTCAGGTAATGAAACACTGACTCCTGTTTGAAATTGACTTAATATGCAGCAATGGAATCTGTGCCCAGCAAGCATTTTTTTAATATATAAATTATGTTTTTATATAGCAGCTTTTATATAGATCATGTTAAAAGCAAAGTTGATGACCATGTTTATTTGGCAGTCATATTTTTGTGAATTTACCATAGGATTATTTAGAACTTTGGCCCTTTCTTATGGGTCCATTCATATTTAAAGAACATCAGAAAAAGGGATTGTTTGACTTCTTTTTAAAGAATGAAATTTAAAGCCGGGCTCAGTGGCTCAGCCTGTAATCCCGTGACTTTGGGAGGCTGAGGTCAGTGGATTGCCTGAGCCCGTGGGGTTCAAGACCTGCCTGGGCAGCGAGACCTCATCTCTACAATAAATCAAAAAATCAGCCCGGCGTGGTAGCACATGCCTGTAATTCCGGCTACTTGGAAGGCTGAGGCGGAAGGATCGCCGGAGCCCAGCAGGTTGTGGCCGGGAGCGGCCACTGCACTCCAGTCTGGATGATAGAGTGAGACTCCAACTCAAAAAAAAACACACAAAAAAAGAAAAGAAATTTAGGTTAGGTGCAGTGGGTCACGCCTATAATCTTAGCACTTTGGGACTTCCAAGCCTGTGGATTGCTTGAACCGAGGAGTTCGAGACCAGCCTGGGCAATATAGCAAAACCTCGTCTCTACAAAAAAAAAAAAATCAGAAAATTAGCCAGGTGTGGTGGTGAGCACCTGTAGTCCCAGCTATCTGGGACGCTGAGGTGGAAGGATTGTCTGAGTCCAGGAAGTCAAAGCTGCCAGAGAGCCATGATTGTCATGATCATGCCTTTGCACTCCAGCCTGGGTAACAGAGTGAGAACTCGATTCCAAAAAAAAAAAGAATGACATTTGTTTTATTTATTAGAGTGACACACTGCTGGCTGCACTAAGGGCGATTTAAAATTTGTCTTATTTAGTTGCCATAATTTGATATACTTATATATATAAATGTATGTGTAAATATATAGACTTGAGTGCACATATATACACTCAGATTGATTATATTTTTATGGCTCCTTTTGAAAAATTGATCTGGTTGTAGATTTTTAAAATGTGTATATCCTTTTAACAAGAAGAATTTCATTTTTTTCTTCCAGAGGAATATATTTGCAGGATACTCTTGACTTGAGCCACTGGAAATTACTTGTGGTATTCTGTAATTACAGCTGGACTTAGAAATCAAAAGGCAAGTTCTAGCTAGTGGGTTTTTTTTTTAAAATTATGTAATTTGGTCCACTCCTTATGGATTGGAGAATTCAGGACCTTAGAGCTCAGGGTAAGTTCCTAGTTCTACCCAGCATGTACTGGTGACTGTGGGAGAATCATTTCATCTTTTCCTCTGTAAAACATAATTATTTCTATCTTTCCTTCCTAGTGGTTCTCAATCAGGCACTGCCGCTTTAGGGGCACATGGGACTGTTTAGGGGTGTTTTTGTTTATTATAAGCCTTGGGAGCTATTCGCCTTTGGGTTCAGGGGAAACCAGGGATGCCAAATTCCCTGTACTATGAGGAACAGTCCCACAGGATGAAGCATTGTTCTGCATAAATATCCAGAAATGACTTCTGGAGAAACACTGACGTGACACGGTGAGGATCCCCTGCAGCAGTGCACGTGAAAGCACTTGGACACCAATTCCATTTGCCGCACTAATGTAGGACAGTGGCCTGCTTTTCTACCTGATTTATAAACTTATTTTCTCAGGAGGCATTTGGGATATGATATATACTTTTCATTTACTAATATTTAAATAATATGTGTTATATTTCTTTTTAAGGGATTTGTGACTACTGTAGTCCATCCTTTTAAGGACATTGTTGACTATTTTTTTATTAATATCAGATGACTCATTGTTTTTGTTTACTTTTGGCTGAAAGAATATAAGGTATATTAAGCATGTCAAATGTGATAAATGACAGTTTTGGTGGACAGCGGTTTACAAAGCTGTTTCCTGCTTTGAGACCATTGTGAATGAGCCTTTTCCTGTTTCCAAAGGCCCCAGCAAATCTTGTCAAGGAGTGGGAAAGAATTGCTCTGTACTTCTCTTTGTCTCTGACCTCTGTTTCCTATAACTAGTTTTCTTTTTCTCTCTCTCTGGCTAAGAAAATGGAGTGGTTTCTGGGGAGATATTTTCTCCTGTGGCAGTTAACAGAGTTTTAAGATTCTGCAGATATGAAATGGGACATAGAAAAGGATTTGGCTACATTTCTGTATGATTTCATTAAGTTGATGATAGGCTCTGAACTTTGAAGGAGATAATGCTCAGGTAGTTTTGATAAAGAACTTAGGAGGAAGGAATATGCATGTTGTAGCAATCCTTTAGAAAAATCTGCTAGCCCATCAGTAGTTTATTTTTTTCATTACTTCAATGTTATGACTATATCGTGCTGAAACTGAGCAGAAGCTTTTTTCTGTTCTTTTTTTTTATTTCAGCAATCACTATTTATTGAAATTTTGAGGTATTTCAAGATAGTTGGTTCTGGCACAGATTGGAAAATAACAACTTTTTATAAGAACTGAGTTTCCCCATTGGTTATTTTTACTTGTAATTCCTTTCTATTTGAAACATCTCATTGTAAGCCAATTTTAACTCTTCTCTCATACTTTATTTAAGTATTTCCCAGGCAAAGCTTACTAGGTCTGTTAGCCTACAGAACTGTGGCTCAGATGCTTTTTTTATTTTCAAAAATCTTTATGTGACATGTTTTAAGAATTTAAGTGAAATTTTTTTGAAATGATCTTCCATTGTACATACTGCCAAATTACCGGAGAAATAATATGTGTGCAAAAATATTTTTAGTAAAATGTTTACTCTTTATATAATGACATTTTATATTTGTTTCTAAACAGAGACAAAGCATGGAGGACACAAGAATGGGAAGAAAGGAGGACTTTCTGGAAGTTCATTTTTCACATGGTTTATGGTGATTGCATTGCTGGGAGTCTGGACATCAGTAGCTGTTGTTTGGTTTGATCTTGTTGATTATGAGGAAGTTCTAGGTAAGAATTCTGATATCTTTTATTTGAATTTGCAAGAGAGTAAGTGACATCCGTTAGTAATCTTAAATATTTATTATCATCTTTTTGGTACTGGCAATTCTGTACCCTCTCAGTGGTTCTCAAGTGGATGAGAACACAAGGACATGTTATCAGGGTTACCTTGGACTAGTAACTTTTGAACTTCTTTGAACATGACCTACAGTGGAAAAAAAATAGGCTTTTTATTGTATGTCTGTCACACAGAGAGAAGTTTTATCAAATAGTACTCTATTTTACTGTATGCAGTACTCTATAATTTTGATTCTTTTTTTAAACATTATAAATTTTAAAAATGCACAATTTGCAAAATCCTTCCTTAGGGAGAGTTTTCAAAGCGTATCCTCTGCTTCTGCATTGGGATGGGGTGTGTGTATGTATGTGTGTGTATATGTAGATGCTGAGATGGGTGGGTGTGGTTGTGAGTGTATGTGAGAGTGTGTGTGTAGGTGTAGTCTGTATGCTGTTTTGAGGAAGTTGCTGTGGTACTACCAATAGTGTCTTCCTTTCTCCTCCTTTGCCCTTTTCTCTTCCCATAATCCCTGCAGTTTTGCATAATTTTTTACATTAATGATTCTTTTCAGAGTCTCAGTCTTTTTTTCCCACATCCCCCTAAATATTTTTTTAAGTGAGATAAAATTCACATAACATAAAAGTCAGTATCATAAATACTTGAAATGTACAACTTAATGGGTTTTAGTATGTTCGTTATTTTATGTAGCCATCAATGTTATCTAATTCCAAAAAAATTTCTGTTCTCCCTTCCCCCCATATACTCAGTTTCCTGGTTTTTTCCCTTTCCTGGCAAATTTGATTTGTGTCTGTGGTTTTGCTTACTCCAGATATGTCATATAATGGAATCATATAATGTGGCCTTATATGTCTGCCTTATGCAATTAGCATAATGTTTTTAAGGTTCAATATTTAACTCCATTTTATGGTTGCATAATATCCCATCATATGGATGCACCACATTTTGCTTGGACATTTGGGTTGTTTCCACTTTTTGGCTATTGTGAATAATGGCTTTCCTCTTTCATAATCCGGTGAAAGATGTGAACCTGTCACTGTAAAAATGCACACTTGTCTCTATGTTTAGGGTTGCATATGTTTAGGGTACCATTGGGCCTCCTGTTCTTCTGCTTTACTTGTCAGATTATAGTCATCTTTCTGGGGGAAAAAGGCAAAGAATAACAAAATATACTTACATGTCATCTGTCTTTCATAAAAATGTTTAATTTTTATTTCTTTGAGGAAAGTGTCTGGATAGGTTGTTAGACTTACAGAAGGGTAATTTTAGTTTAGAGACAAACTTCTGAGTATATTTGTGCTTTTACTAACTTACAGTGATGTGTTGCTAGGGAATGCATGTTAAACAAAAGAAAGCTTTTAAATATTTGTACCATAAGCACTAGTAACAACTTTCATGTTTTTACATGCATGCAGCCAAAGCAAAGGACTTCCGTTATAACTTATCAGAGGTACTTCAAGGTAGGCTATTGGAGATCCATTCTAAGTCTACTTGTGTTAGTCTCTAAAACCTCATTCTTATTCTACTAATTTAGTTATCGTCTGCATCAGAGAATGTAAGTGGTAGGACCAATTTTCCCTTATAAGTTTGTCAGGAAGGACCATATTTTCTATCTTTTAATGTTATTTGAGCTCTGTACTGTTATGGCCTTGACCTGCAGATGAGTATTTTTCATTTTCTTAGCAATAGAAATGTTAACATTCTCATCTCTCTGTTGTTACTGTCATTTTAGATGGGTGTGTGCCTGCCAAGTCAGACTTCTACTTAGCAAGTTAACTGTTTTCCTAAGTAGAACAAGGGCTCCGGGGTGATAAAGATTAATCTTAGCTGTTTTGCACCAACGTTTTTACCTGGTCATATGCAACCTTTTGATATATTTTGCATCCAAGAAATAGTAATAGTGCTGCCAACAGGTTTTTGTTTTATAACTAATGCTGTATTTGTGAACGCTATGTGAATTATGAGTCACGTTTATTATGGGATGCTTTTTTAGGAGATTGAATATATTTATTATTTGAAAGGCTAAACACAACAGTGCTCCTTTGGAGAAAGGATTAAAAACCCTTTAAATACATATTTGCTATTCTTGAGGGCTTGGTAGTATTGTCTTCTCAGCATATCTGTTTTAAGGGGTTTTTTTTGTTTCCCCTTAGTAATAGATGGCCAGTGCTAATTCTTTAAGTAGAACAACCATATGTTTTCCATTGTAATTTCAGAAAGGTTCTGGTTTTTACATACTTTATTTCCAGAATGGTCTTTTTTTTTTCCTTCTTCAAGGTTAATTTGTGGTATTTCTGTTGTAAATCATTATTATAAAGTATAAAATTAATTGTACTTTTATTTTTATTACTTACACTCTGTTACATTTAGTCTTTATTTGAGGCCTCATTGGTTGTTTCTTTTGCTTCGGATATTGATAGTGTGATGAAATTTTTTGCTTTAGAAACATTAAATTTTATGTAACTGTTGGAAATGCATCAATATAATTTTTTATATTTGTTTAAAACTTTCCTTAAAATATTTTTAGAAGGACAGTACATTCAGAAATTATTAGATCAGGATATTGTTAAACCTTTAAACAAAATACTGCAACAGTTGTATTTCTTAGAATTTGTTAGGTAAACATTTCCTGTGTCTAAGTGAATTGTTCACCATTTCTAGGTAAGATCTTCATTTGGTATTGCCTTGCAGGATTATGAAAGCAAAGAATTGGCATTGATTGTTGACTGATATGCAGGAGTGCAATAAGTGGTAATACTTTATTAATTTTTTTTTCTTTTGTTCCTATACCTGTCATTCCTCCCCCCTTGTAGGAAAACTTGGAATCTATGATGCTGATGGTGATGGAGATTTTGATGTGGATGATGCCAAAGTCTTATTAGGCAAGTACACATTTCATTTTTGTTCATAGTGGTAAAATGCTAGAAACAAAATAAAATTTTTCCTTTAATAATATCTGTGTCAATAGTATATAGCTTATGGAAGATATTTCCCCCATAAATTTTATATTTCATTCCTGTTGAAATTTTAAATGGCTTAATTATTTTTCCATAGACTTTCATGTTTCATTTCACTCTTATCAATGGATAAGTATATAGGCACTCATATATGTATTTTAATAAGAATAATAATTTAATGTGTGTCTTCAGATTTAAAATACTTCCTATTCTGAACTTTACATTTGAAAATATAGATAATATCCTAGAATAGTGTGAAATGTAATTTAGGGGTCCTTCATCAACATTAGACATAACTCACTTCCATTTGAAAATGTAAATTTCTACAGGCTTATAAAAATTTATTTTAAAATAAAATCATGATAGTAAACATCTTAAAATGTCCTATGCATATTTTAAAGGTAGCATTAAAATATGAACTGGTCTTTTCACTGGGTATTGCTATTTTAGAAGTCTTAGATCCTTTACTTTCTGACATCAGAATTACTTGTCTTTATGATTTAGATTTTTTAAAATGTAAATAATGATGTGGTATTTCCTCAATTGTTTTAAAATATTATCCTGATGGAAAGCATGATGCTAATTTTAATATGCAAATTTTATATAATCTGGCCTAATAAGATTTTCTTTGCTTTCATTGTAGCATCATATATGTGAAAACATTTTATATCAAGTCTTTAGAAAATAATGTACTTGGTATGATGTTATAAAATAAGCTTAGTAGAATAATGACCCAAAGAAATTCTCCCTAAATGCACTACTCTGTGTATATTTTATTGACATGAAAACATGGGAGGATTCCACATCTGTGACCAATGTAACTATTTTCAGTAGATTTATCTCACTTCTTTTTAAAACAATATATTCTAAATATGAAAAAAGGATTTTAGTTGTGATTAAAAATAATAAAGCTTTTAAATTTTAAGCTATATTAGCTTATGTTTTCATATTACTGCTCAGTGGAAATGAGTGTTAGTTGCTTAACAGTGAAAGCTTACCATGAGATTTTTATACAATTTCTTTTCCTGTCTAACCTTAATAATCTTTTTAATGTAATTCTGTCATTGCATATCTAAATTAGTGTTTCTATAAATATGTTAAATTCTCAGATGATTATAATCCTAGGCATATAAAAGAAATAAAGTTATATAGAACTTAACATATCAGAATGATGGTAATTTGCTTGCCCATACATGTTTATTATTTCATTATATTACTTTATGAATTCTGGATAGTGAAACTTTTGATTTTAAAGATAAATTCATGCAGGTCAGGTTTCCTCTTTTTTAGAGCTATTACTTCTTATGTACTATATTTTACAGTTTCTTCTATATAACATGCTGATTTATTTCTGTAGAAAACTATTACATTAATAACTTGATTTTTAGTATATTTGAGATTTTCAAAAATTATTCCCCATAAGATTTTTAACTTACCATTAAGAGGTTCATTAACTGTAACTTTGAAAATTGCTATTTGCAGATACAGTATGAGCACACCATAAATTGTGCCTTTTATAAGAATTATACACTTGAAGGTGGAACCAAGTTTGATAAATTTCAAGATTTCTTTTGGCAGTTTGACTAGTAAATGCACAAAGATCAGGTAAAGCTAACATAACTAAACTATTTTATAATGCACATGTAGCAGTTTACAGTTGGCTGGTAGCTTCAGTACAGATGAAACAAACCAAAGGTGAACTGTTAGGCTCACTTATCACATCAACCATATTTCTATAGTGTTTGAATTCTCTGCACAAAAGACAGCCTTACCTTGAATTGAATTTTATGTCTAAAGTTCTTTTCTAGCTTGAGATTTTTGTAGCCTAGTTGTCCTCTATTACTGGCAGATGATTGCAAAGACAGAACCTGGTGAAATTGCTCGGAGCCCAGAGGTTTAATGGATTCTGTTTGATCAGAAACAGGTTGTGAGGGAGCAAATACAGTGAGCATATATCCCGAAAGAAGTCAGTCTTTCAGGGTGCATTCTCACTGGAGAGGCAGCAAAAGGTTAGGCTTAAACTTTTAGGGTTTAGACTTTGGATTAAGGTAGAAGGGGGAGTACAAGGGGAGGGAGGAAGGTAGGTGACCAGAATTAGAGCAGAGCTGGGCATGGCAGGTGTAGTAATAGGTGAGATATGTTGAACTTTTATAGGTTTGGCATTTATCCATTAAATGTTTATTTCTAGGCTTTTAAATCTGCATATATTTAGATCTTATTAATTGAGGGAAATTCACTCATTTATGCTTGCATTTCCTTCAAATTGTAAAGTTTGGTCTGTTTTTTTTTTGGTGAAATATGTATGAGTAATAACCAAGATCAATAGCCATTATGAATTTTATTATTTCTCACCAAGGCCCTTCTGATGCACTTTTCAAATATACTAATTCTATTCTCCATTGACATAGCTTCCTGTTTTTTGGCCAAATTATTTAAAATAAAAGTATCTTTCATTTTAGTTTGGGTTATTGAAAACTACAATGCTTGGAAATGTATTCTTTAAAAACTTCTTTACCAAATAAAATCAACAGGAAAATGACCTGAGGACTAAATGCTGAGAGTAACATCTTCTTAGAGTAACACCACCTAAGGATTGCATGGTTGTCCTTTGTCCTATGACTAGCATCTAACTGGCATCATATCAGGTATGGCTGGAAAGCAAAAGGGAAGCCAGTTAGCACTTCCTCGACCCCTGATAAACATTTGTAGACTGGATGGATGAATGAGCTGATGGGAGGAGAGGACCAGACCTTGCTGAGCCAAAGGCATTGAAATCCTGCCCTTTGGTTGATGCCTACTCTTAGAGGTTATGAAGGAATTACATTCCCAGAATATTATCTTTTTCTGTTTAGACTAGCAAATTTGTCTTAAGAACCACAGGAAAGTTGCATGACTGGGTAAACAGTTTTGTTTAAATGCTTTGCATAGTTGTTGCACACTTCAACCTGTCATACTAAGGGACAGAAAAGTATTATAATTTTTTTTTCAGTACTTGGAAGTACTTATAGTATATTGGAAAATGGAGAAAAATAAAAAATGTTTATACTAGATATGCAGTTATAGTGTTTTAAGGCAGAAAGAAGAAACAATGTTATTCCCACAGAGACTTAAGTAAGAACAGCATTTGTCAACTATTAAATTCAGTGAAAAAGCTGGGCTCGGTGGCTCAGCCTGTAATCCCGTGCTTTGGGAGGCTGAGGTGAGTGGATTGCCTGAGCCTGTGGGTTCAAGACCCACCTGGGCAACTTGGCGAGACCTCATCTCTACAGTAAACCAAAAAATCAACCAGGCGTGGTAGCGCGTGCCTGTAGTTCCAGCTACTTAGAAGGCTGAGGCGGAAGGATTGCCGGAGCCCAGCAAGTTGAGGCTGTGGTGGCCAGGAGCGGCCACTGCACTCCAGTCTGGGTGACAGAGTGAGACTCCCACTCAAAAAAAAAAAAATAAATAAATATTCAGTGAAAAAAATGCTCTAGGCTTGTCAAGAAATAATTTAAATATCAACTACAATTTGTGTTTTTCTTTTCTGCCCCAAATACATGAAGAATGGCATGATATAGTTCTTCTTTTGACTAAAGTGGTGAAGATATATTGTAATTTTTAAAACTTAAATTAGTTGTCTTAATATTATTTCTTCTATGTCAATCTTGACTGCTGGTATGGTATGTAGTCATACTACGTAGAGAAATTGTGTATTACAAAAACCTTAAACGACTGAATTAGGTGGCTGCAACCAGAAAAGCTCTGTGGTTGTGGATGTTCACATTTTTTACAACCAGAACATCCTACCCACTTTTTCCTCTTCAAAGTCATGGGGAATTGTTACATAACTTGGCAATATTGGTAGATTTTGATATGAGCTAAGAGACCTTTCCTATCTATAGCCAGTTCTTTACAAGAAAAAAAAAAAAGATAAACAAAACTACACTCTGATTTCTTTCTATCAAGAAGACCTGCTTTGGGTTCACTTAAAAATGACAAAAGTTAAATGTCTTTGCTGTAGTAGCTAATTACAAAGACAGATAGGGAGAGGAGTTTAGACGGTTCCTACTGGAAATGATTGTCTGAGACCTTGATCAAATTTCATGTCAGTAGGTAAAGTGAATTATTATTCATAGCTGACTCTTGGCCAGGATTACAGGACCATGAGTCAGTTGCCAAAGTTTTTATAGAGCTACCAATAATGTCAATTTAAACATTAATTTAAAATCATCTGAGTTAGATTATTTGAGTATATTTATGCCCATCCATGGACACTGTAAAAAATAATACTACTGGCCATATTAACTCCAGAGTTTCCTAAGTTATCTTTAAGTCTTACGGGGTAAAGTTTGAAGAAACAAGCCTTTTTATTTTCAATAAATATTTATTGAAACATATTTTTCATATATATCATATATATATATGAATGTTTGTATAATCAACTCTCAATAATATCTGGTTGGTAGATGAGCAAATCTGGCGGTTGTCAGAAGTAAACAACTTTTTTCTCTTGATATGGTTCTTATTTCCCATTACTGTTAACAAATTCTTCCCATTACTATTTATTGATTTTTTTTTTTTTTTTTGGAGTTGGAGTCTCACTCTGTCACCCAGACTGGAGTGCAGTGGCCGCTCCTGGCCACTGCAGCCTTGACCTGCTGGGCTCTGGCGATCCTTCCGCCTCAGCCTTCCAAGTAGCCGGAATCACAGGCATGCACTACCACGCCCGGCTGATTTTTTGATTTATTGTAGAGATGAGGTCTCGCTGCCCTATTGATTTTGACTGAATACAGTTGTATCAGTTTTTCAACAAGACTCTAATGAAAGGAAGCAAATATGGTTGGAGCTGGTAGGAATGGTGAGACTTGGTCAAATTGTGGCTTTCCTTTGGTTCATATGATTGAGAGTTGATTGTAAGGTGTGTATTTTAATTGACTTCTTTATTT